TAATTTTTGACATGAAAAGTTATAATGTTCTGTGATTAATATAAAGATATATATAAGCACAAGTCTCAAGAACATCGTTTAAGTCATTGGGTTAACTGCGTGACATTCGATTGTCAGGTTAAGCAAAGTTAGCGTGGTCAGCACATGGAGGAGGTGCCGCTTGAAATCGAAGCTATCGACGGACGCAAGAGGCGAGAAATTTAGCAGTAAATTTTTTATATAACAATAATATTATAGTTATATAACAGCTATATAACATTTTAATAACATGTGATATTTCTGTTATGTAACTACAACTTTCTATGAGTGGGAAATTATAATTAACGTGCATATTGCTTGTAACATACACGTTATATTACGTGTTACATTTTGTTACATTACGACAATGTAACTGTTACGTTACTGTGTTTACTGGGCATAATTACGAAAAAGTAAAAAATTGGGTTGCTGAATGGATTGGCTCAAAAGACAGACCGCTCTTTCGTCGCGGAATTCAACTTCTGCCAGGAAAGTAGGAAAAGTCATAGCTTCCGAGGGCAAATGCTTTGATTAATATATTCACGTATTTTATTATTGAAATAAATGCTTCAAAAACAAAAAAATATTGGTTTCAATGCAATTTCTTAATATTTTTCTAAAATGTTTTTACTTCAAACATAATGACTATGAGATATTCTAATGAATTAATTAGAACGCCTTACTTTGTATTTCAGAAAATTCATAATGAGAAAATACTATATTACAGTAATTTAGAAAGTTCTCAATGTAAGCTACAAGAATATAAGTAATAAAAAATAGGGATTTTCATTTAAGAAATTGAAGATGACCTTCATGATTGAAGATCACTTTCAAGCGACTACCCAAGGCAAAATTATTTCTACCGTCTTATTTTCCCCTTAAAACTATTTAATTTTTGTCTGAAATATTTTTTTTATCGGTTCTAGTTTCCAAAATGTTTGGTTGGATGAATTAAAATAGGCTATCCTATATAATGTATAATACTTTTTCACACAACTGGTACATTATTAAATATATATATTAATATAATTAAATTATAATTAAATATATATATTAAATATATTATTAAATTCCGTATGTGTGAGAACTAGAGATATATTACATATATCAGAAGAAATACACTCAAACGCAAAAAACCCGGTACACTAAAAATTTGGGAAAAAATTACAAAATTTCAAATGATCATAACTTGGTAAATAATGAAGATACAAATATGCGCAGAAATGCAAAATGAAGCTTGAAACGTCCTCTTTAAGAATATCTGAATGGCAATTATGCTCGGCCATTTTTTTGTAAATGGCGGATGATAAAGTGAGAGGATGCAAAATTGATAATCAAAGGTCCGTGTTTGCGATGGTGCATGATGTGCATCAGGTATCGCAGCGTAATGGGACCAAATGCACATGAAAGTATAGAGTGTTATCTTTAAAATGCTACTTTACCGAGCTCGATGTGATCATTTTTCACTGAGTTGTTCCAAATTTTGCTAAAAATGCGGTTTTCTTGTTAAATTTGCATAATTCAGTGAATAAGTATCGCATCAAGCTCTATAACGAAGTATTTTAAAGAAAACATTCTATACTTTTAGGTACTTTTAGTCCCATTGAGCTGCGACACCTACTTCGCTCCATGCGCCGTCGCACGCTCGAACCTTTTTTTAGCAACATTTCATGTTCTCCTTTTTATCACCCGCCATTTTGAAAAAATATCGTTGCGCACAATTTCGATAGATCTTTCGAAAAGTACGGTTTCAAAGCTTTCAAACCGTTTTTGAAATTTGCTGCTAGGATATTTAGATGTCGAGATATTCAATTTCGAATTTGCAACAAATGTCGATTCAGCGAGGCTTAAGGGGCTAAGAGGCTCTGCGGTTCGTTTGGCTCTTTCATAATTTCAATAGCTGTGTTCATGTTTCTCTATATAATAATTTACATAACCAGCACAATATATTCAATGATTTGCATTTATTATTTTGAAAGCCAGGGAAATGAAAGTAAAATTCTATTTAGGTTCTTCATTTTGCGTAATCGATATTACGTAATAAAGATGAATTGCGTTTTAAGATACCGCTGTCATTAGCTCAAATTATGTTTGTGTCTTCCCAATACAAACCGCATGGAGTTTTACTGGTAGAAAAAGTCCCATTGTATGTAGTGTGTGTGTGTGTGTGTGTGTGTGTGTGTGTATTTGTACACCACAAGGATAAGGACCCCGTGGTTCGTCAGCTCCACAGTATTTCAAGATTTCACACCCTCCTTGTGGTGTGTGTGTGTGTGTGGTGTTACAGCAGAGATAAGGACCCCGCAGTTCGTCACTCCTGCAGTAATTAATGACTCCAAACCCTCTCTGCTGTGTGTGTGGTGTGTGTGTACTAATAGTGGGTATGACTGCCCCGTGCGCGTATTACCTCATTCATACGATCAGGCATACTCCTTATTAGTCTTTTAATTTCATCCTGCGTAATTGTATTCCATTCGTTTTCGAGAATTATTCGCAGTTCTCGCAGTGACTGAGGAGCAGGTACGTGATTTCGTACTTTCCTGCCGAGGTTGTCCCATAAGTGTTCGATTGGATTTAAATCTGGACTATTTGCTGGCCAATCGAGTCGATTTATGCCAATTTCATCGAAGAAATCAAGCACTCGCAGTGTGTGGTCGAGCATTGTCTTGCATAAACAAGAAGTTCTTTCCGATGAAGGGTGCGTACGGAACAACATACGGAATGAGTATGTCTTCCACGTATACATCTGCGTTCATATTCTTGTCAAAAAAGTGCAGATCTGTATGAGCATTAGCTGAAATTCCTGCCCAAATCATTACAGAGCCTCCATTGTAGCTATGCCTCTCACTTACCGTACAGTCTGCAAATCGTTCTCCACCGCGACGATAAACTCGTTCTCGTCCATCTGGAGAATAGACACAAAAACGAGATTCATCGCTAAAGAGTACTTTGCTCCAGTCTGCGTAAGTCCAGTCTCTATGCTCAACTGCAAAATTGAGTCGAGCTACGCGATGGTGACATTTAAGCAAAGGTACAGCTGCTGGCCTGCGCGAAAGCAGATTTTGTTCTTTTAATCTTCTCCGAACGGTGTTAACGGATACATTAATGTTGCGGACATCCCTTAAATTGTTTCTAATTTGAACAGATGTTCGATGTCTGTCTCTTAACGAATTTGAAACAATAAATCGGTCATCATTGTGATTGGTACATCGAGGACGTCCCGAACCAGGCCTTCTATGGAAAGAATTGGTTTGTAAGTACCTGGCATAAGCACGTTGCACAGTTAAATCTGCACTGACAAATCAAGTGCCTGAGCAACGTACCTTCGACTTCTGCCATCTTCAATTAAAGCAATAACTTGAGCAGCCTTTTCAGGATTTATCGTCGCCATAATGGACGCAATAATTTCGATGCGAAACAATCAATTATGGTTTAAATTGATAAAGTTGCACGAAGCAACGCGCCTCGAAAGGAAAAGATCACGGAAAAAGAAAGTCGCACGAGGCAGCGCTTATCGGAGTGAACACGTTCGGAAAAGGAAAATTGTTTGTCTTTGTTTATTGTCTTGGCACATACATTTAAGAAAAATCCAGTCAAGTCAGGCGTTAAAGCCCGGCGCACCGACAGAATCTCAGTCAAGCCAGAACGTAAGCCCGGCGTACTGACAAACTCGCGAAGTCCAGCGTACAAGAGATAGTGCCACTATCGGCGGGGGGCCGCCGAGGGGCTCGCGCGCGCGACAACCCAGATCGCCGCGTCGCGGCGGCTCCGTGGACTAGGAGCGCCAGGGAATTTCGACGTTCAGGTGGCGTCCAGCGACTCGGCATCCCGCGCGCCAGGTCACCGCTCAGGCGCGATCCTGAACAGCATATTCAAGCTGTGTACCATAATGGCCAATCGTACGGAGAAGGTAGAGTGCTAGGGACAGCTTCGCGAACTAAAGTGTATACCACAGTGATCATGCGTAACTGAAGGGTAAAGAATGATAACTTTTGATAAAAATTAAATTTCCAATTCGCAAAATTGTGTAAATTATTGTATAGAGAGTAATGAACGCGGCTATTGAAATTATGAAAGAGCCAAACGAACCGCAGAGCCTCTTAGCCCCTTAAGCCTCGCTGAATCGACATTTGTTGCAAATTCGAAATTGAATATCTCGACACCTAAATATCCTAGCAGCAAATTTCAAAAACGGTTTGAAAGCTTTGAAACCGTACTTTTCGAAAGATCTATCGAAATTGTGCGCAACGATATTTTTTCAAAATGGCGGGTGATAAAAAGGAGAACATGAAATGTTGCTAAAAAAAGGTTCGAGCGTGCGACGGCGCATGGAGCAAAGTAAGTGTCGCAGCTCAATGGGACGAAAAGTACCTAAAAATATAGAATGTTTTCTTTAAAATACTTCGTTATAGTGCTTGATGCGATACTTATTCACTGAATTATGCAAATTTAACAAGAAAACCGCATTTTTAGCAAAATTTGCAACAACTCAGTGAGAAATGATCACATCGAGCTCGGTAAAGTAGCATTTTAAAGATAACACTCTATACTTTCATGTGCATTTGTCCCATTACGCTGCGATACCTGATGCACACCATGCACCATCGCAAACACGGACCTTTGATTATCAATTTTGCATCCTGTCACTTTATCATCCGCCATTTACAAAAAAATGGCCGAGCATAATTGCCATTCAGATATTCTTAAAGAGGACGTTTCAAGCTTCATTTTGCATTTCTGCGCATATTTGTATCTTCATTATTTACCAAGTTATGATCATTTGAAATTTTGTAATTTTTTCCCAAATTTTTAGTGTACCGGGTTTTTTGCGTTTGAGTGTATATTAAGTCAAACAAATAAACTAAAAAAATATAAAAAATATAAAAATATAAAAAATATATTAACGCGATAGATAAGGAAAGAAGAGGAAAAAGAAAAACATAGTTATATACATCAGCGTCCAACTTATCTTTATTACTTACTGGCTCCTTCAGTGTGGAAGCGTAGTATCTCCGAGGGATGGCTCCAACCATAACGATTTCTGGATAAAACGACAGCTTCGTAATGTGTCGCTGTGTTCAAGCCCGTTAAATTGAAAGAGCGAGTGTGTACCGGACTACTGGCGTCAGTGCTACTCGGTATATATAATTTATGCCATTTGCCACCAGTACCCCCCTGTAGCATAAAAACAGATATTTAATATTCGGTCGCAAACAGATCTTCGAAAAACACGGAATATGCTGCTGATAATGTGAATAATGTTAAATTGTGTAAAGTTTAGATTTCCATTTTATATGTTCATTTCTTTGTCTTTTTATCTATTTATTTACCTACTTTTATGGGTATATAAGCTAATAAATAATAAAAACTGCGGATCTCATAATTACTATTATTATAGAATGAACAATTGTTATTATTGCTTTTTGCTGAAACTGTACGTCTACTTTCGTATATACGAGGGTAGTTCCAGAAGTACCTGACCTGACATGTAGATTGCGGTTGTTGTTGAAAAGAATGACTATGGTAGAAAGTACCAACCTTATAAAGCTTAAGTTTGAAGTTTGACGACGCTACGTTGTTTAGTATTTGTTTGGCAGCCATCAATAGTGATCCCTCCGAGGGATGCCACCTTGTCGTGGTGGAGGGGCTCGGGCGTTCCCATGATCCACTGGGACAATACCTTCGGTCCTACCGAAGGGAGGGCCCGGTGGGGAGGAATGCCCGCTAATAGCATCTCAGGGAAAGTTACAAGACCCTCTGCGCCATGCTTGGCACAAGGTCTCGATTTTCGGGAGGGAGGCCTCCCATCCCCAAGAGCATTGCACGCTGGTGTTCCGGCAGCCTGAGGGGGTGGTTCGGGTCTACCTTCTCGCTTTGGTGGGAGCGCTACTGAGGGCATTGCACGCCGGTGCCCCGGCAGCCCGAGGGGGTGGGTCACATCTGGGTCTGCACGCCGTGAGGGCTTGGGACCCCTCACGGTACCCAGGGTGGCAGGGGACTGCGGGCCGCTCGGACATACTCTGAGGTCGGGGCCGGGGCCCCCCGGAGTGCCCGGTGGATGGGGATCGCATCATCCCTAAACCCATCCACCGGGCGGCGAGGTCAGGCTGGCTTCCGTGGGGGAGCGGTCCCGTCGGGATGTGACGGCGGTAACTTAGCTCCTTCCACGGGGCCCTCCGCGTGGCGGCGCTGTTGAGGTTCGGAGACAGGGGGCCAAGAAACGGAAGAGGGAGGAGGTGGCGGGAACTTCCAGGACATCGCCGGCCCCTTCAGACGCATCGGCAGCCACCACGGTGCTGATGGAGGAGGATCCGGTGATTCCAGATGAAGTGAGCTATTCCCTGGTGTTGTGGAATAAGTGGGACGAGGAGCGGGAGCCCTCGTCCCACTTATTCCACTTGGCCCTAAACGATGTGAGGTCCTTGTTTGATGGCTTGGACGAGGTATGGGATGAAGGATATGAGGAAATGGCCTCGGTCAGGATTCGAGAATTCTTCATTAACACTAGGAAGTGTGTACAACTCCTTTGTAAGGATGGGAGGACTATGCATATGAGGAAGGCAGAGCTCACGAAGGAGCTAAGATTGAGCAAAGAGGAGGTGAAGAAGCTGAAGGCTGAACTTGAGTTCAGCAGGGAATATAGGGAGGAACTCTCGAAAGGAATGGACCTAAGGTCCAAGGAGGTGGAGCAGGCCAATAGGGCAAGGGAGAAGTCAGAGTCCAGCTTGGCGGCTGGAAAGAAGTAGGTGAGGCTCCTCCAGAGCCAGCTGGACAAAGCCAGGGAAGAATTTGAGATGATGCGGAAGAAGCCCGAGTGGAGGTCGACGGGGACGATGACGAGAGAGACGAAGGAGTGGCACCTCAGGAAGGAAGTTGCCACCCAGAAGGACGATGAAGGTGGGATAGAGTGGTGGAGAATCTCTGGGTCTGGGGGTCGACGTTCCTTTCCGGACGGAGGCTCCCCTGCCCCTGGCTCGGGACGCGGAGGCGCTCTGCGGTGCTCCCACGGAGGAGATGGAGTGGGAGACTGCGGAACATTGCAAGAGGAAGAGGAAGAAGAGTATAGGAGAGACTGGGGGAGGAACGGAGGATGAACGGGCTGGGGACGCCCAGTCTCAGGGCATGAAGCGTGGAAAGATGGAGGAGGGCGGATCTTACCCCCCGGGGATCATCTCCCACTAGTGGAGGAGGACGTGGGAGGATGGAGGGAGGACGGATTTTGCCCTCTTTTGGATCACCTCCCACCGGTGGAGGAGGACGTGGTCAGGAGAGGTTGAGGGGGAAGGGGAGGAGTGGGGTGATGCCCACCCCTGGTCCCCCGCCAACACAGGGTAGGATATGGCCGCGGCTGCCGGAAACAGCCGCGGTCACTGTGAGGTTGGAGCGGGGGGCTTCCTATGCGAAGGCCCTCCGGCAAGCGGAGAGAATTCCCCTCGAGGACATGGGGATCCCGGGCGTGGAAGTGGGAAGGAGCGCGGATGGTGCGCTATTGCTCCGCGTCCGGAACCCTGGTCCTGAGGGGAGAAAAGCGGACAAGTTAGCCGATAAGCTAAAAGAAGTGTTATCTGAGGCGACGGTTAGTCGTCTAGTGCAGAGGGGGAAGGTCCGCCTCGTTGGGTTCAGCGAGGCAGCCCTCACGGGGCCTGGGCCTCTCTCGTTCGACGGACCCCTGGGCGGCTGCCGATATGGACGTAAGGTCTCTGCTCCGTGTAGGGGGCGGGGGTTCACCTGCCCCCGTGGTGGCGGGGTTCACCTGCCGCCTTTGTGCGGCAGGATATTGATTCCTACCGCCGTTCCGTCGGCAGTTCGATCCCTTCCGTAGTTCGGGGAGAATTTCTCCCCTGAGCGTGCCTTTGAGGGGTGGGCTTCCCACCTTGGAACCTATGAGTGAGGAAGGGATCGTCTATTAGGGGAGGCGGGAACAACCCGGTGGGGGCCGAGCCCGCCTCTTCGCCCGCCCCATTCCAGGTCATCCGGAGTGGGGTGAGGGAGGGGGGTTGGAGACCCTCCTCTTCCTCGTCGTCCAAACAGCTTTTGGCCGGCTATGGCGGAACGAATTCGCTCTGCCTGTACCTGGAGCGTCGCGGGGACGGCGTAACCTCGTCCGGAATGGTGGTTAAGGAAACCTTGCACAACAGGGGTGAGTTTTTCTTCCTCTCCAGCGAGGTAAGGTAGTACTTCCCTTTCGGACTAGGCGTCACAGTGACCCGGAGGGACACAGTGACCCGGATTTCACGGGAACAGTGATTGAGTCAATGCTTTTGCCTCTAGAGGTAGCGACGGCTCTCCCTTCCTCTCCCGGCTACCCCCCCCCCCTCATTAAGTCCCTGCGACGCGTGGTGCCTAGGTGTCGGCCTTTGGACCGTGAGGCTGCGATGGATAGGAGGGAATAGGGGACTAGTTCGCCATCCTTCGCATTCAGCTTCGCTGGTGGTCTCTCCCTGGAGTTTTAATGGATGCGAGTCCCACATAACCCCGCCTCCCCCCCCAAGGGACGGGGTACTCATAAGGGATTTCTCCAGAGTTACAAAAAAATGCCATCAATAGTGAACGCTCTCAGTGAATTTGTAAACATGGAAAAAATTAGTCATCGTTATGTGATACAATACATTCATTTGAAAGGCCTCAGTCCAACCAATATCAAAGCGGAGCTAGATTCTACTCTGGGGGAGTCTGCTCCTTCGTTTACAACAGTAAAATATTAGGTGACAGAGTTTAAACGAGGCCGTACGAGCTGCCAAGACGAACATCGCAGTGGTCGACCAAATGAGGTGACCATACCAGAAATGGTGAAGAAAATCCACAAAATGGTATTGGATGACCGTCGACTGAAAGTGCGCGAGTTAGCATGGTAGGCATTTCAAAAAGTGCCTACATCGCATATTGACTGAAAATTTGGATATGAGAAAGCTGTGCGCAAGATGGGTGCCACGATTGGAACAAAAACAGCGTCGTGAGGATGTTTCAATCGAGCGTTTGGTGAAGTTTCGCAACATTAAAGCCGAGTTTTTGCGTTGATTCATAACCATGGATGAAACATAGGTCCATCACTTCACATCTGAGATGAAGGAACAGTCAAAACAATGGACCAAGGTGGCTTGATGGCTATTTTGAGGAGCTCGACGATCCCACTATAAACAGGATATCGAAGCTATTGAACATTGCTGAGAAAAGTATATTGAGCTAAAAGGAGACTATGTAGAGAAATAAAGATATGTAGAGAAATAAAGATATTTTTCCCAAATTTTTTGTGTTTTCTTTGTTAGGTCAGGTACTTCTGGGACTACCCTCGTATGACAACCATCAAAATTATAATACGAATGACACACGAGTCGATGAGATATATTCTATTCCTCTCATTCCTTTTAATAAGATGAAAAACATAGGTTTTACTTTACGTCAATTTCACATTTTCTTCCTATCAAAGGTTTGTAATGCTATGTCTTTATTGATTTATATCTTTATTGATTTATTCCTTTATTGATTATATCGGATATTTCGGTTTCTGTAAGATCTTACCTTATATTTGCGGAACCAAAATTGATATTCAATAATGGGACTGTAACTGTCAACCTCCCAAATGAAATTGTATGATGTGCTCGATGTGCTACGCGATTCTTTTTTAAAAACCGCTGGATTCGCGATTGCCGTTAGTTCAATAGTTTTCTCGGTATTTCCTAAGAGATTCGATGCCCTACATGAATAGAAACCGTAATCGCTTGTCTTTACGTTTCTTATTATCAGGCTGTGATCATTTCCAGTATTAAGTTTCACTATCCGTGACGTGTCTTTCAGCGTCTCGTTCTTAAAGTACCACTCAACCTGAAAAGAGATCTTATTAAAAAAAAAATGATGATGATATGAGACGAAATTTTAACACTTTCGTGTCGTTTCTGTAATGTTAATTTTTATTAATCTTCAGCTTATAGGAATATAGATAACGTTAAATTATTCGATTGTTAGTTAATTAATCAAATTAATCGGTTAATTGTCAAATATCATAGGAATATAATTCTTCTACTTGGCTTTGGTTTTCCTGAGGAAATAAAAAGAACAAGACACTGTAAATCACGTTCTCTACGATTTGTCACGTGCGACTGGCTTTAGGAGATTACGGTGAGAAATTGCTTGGTGGATAGGGAGGCAGTTTTATTTAGTCACTAAACATAAAGAACTCATCGAAATCGAAAGATGATTTCTAACGTTAGCAAGAAAAATAAGTCGTAAATATTTGTATTGGACGTCAAGAGCAACAGATTGTATTTTTCGCTCACGCATACCGTTATTATAATAAACAAGATAAAATTATAAGATTTCTTATATATGTAATTAATATAAATTTAATTTTACAAATGTACTCAACTTGTTGAACCATTTTCTTTTAATTTTATAAAATATCTCATGTCGTTTCCAGTTTAATAAGGGTCTTGAGGTTATTCAACCAAGTACTCACGCGGATGTAATCTCTCATCGGCTTTGCAAGGGAAAAGCGAATCGGTTACTTAATCTTATGGAAATAAATCCTTTCAATTCGTTTCGATTCGTCTACTTTTTCATTGAAGGGCAGAGAAGGACAGAGTGTTCTTACCAAGATTTGAGGATTACGTCTTAAAATCGATGAGATTAATGAGAAGGCGCTTACAGCCGCCATATCCCTGTATAGCAAAAGTTTCTGCAGCCTTATTTCGCACACTTGTAAAATAATTAAAAGTCCAACTATGGGTTATACTGAGGCGGATTGTATGCGTACATAAAAACATGCGTTTTATGCAAGCTTATGTTAATTAGTATTCGGACTGTTAATTAATGACACGGTAATTACACGCCGTTATCGATTTTGTGGAAAAACTCACTTTCGCTTCAGGCCATGAGGTCACTGTGCAGACTAGCTTCACCCTTATTCCTGGATGTGTGTGCACCCATGTTTTCTTCACGTAGATTTCTGGCTTGTCTATTGTACGAGTTGAAAATGTTATATACGGTTATTAGTATTAATATTCGGACATTATTTGAGCAATTATTATTTTCTAAATGTAACTTTTATCGGAGTTAGGAATTCATAATTTTTTGATGAATTAAAATATATACTATAGTTGTCAGAAACGTAAATTTTCTTTTTTTTTAATAAAATTTAATAAAATAACTATATCATTTTATTTACAAATGGCATTACTTTCGAGATATTCATTGATCATTACTTTTCTTAAAATAAAATTTAATAAAATAGCCATATATATTTTTTTATAAAATAACTATATCATTTTGTTTACAGATGGCGCTACTTTCGAAAGATTCATTGATCATTACTTTTCTCAAATAGAAATCTCAATTTTTTATTATATCATCTTTTTCTATCAATTAATTTTAACCACTTTTGTCTGAAACAATTTTTTATTTGCTTAATATTTTTGGAGGTATTTAAAGAAAACTTGATAACTTTTTCAATATTTAACTTACGATATCTCACTAACTATTTGTCAGAAGAAAAAATAGTACTATAATATATTTTATTACTCTATTTAGTTTCAAGAATATACTACTACATACTAATAGAGTACTAATAGTACTCTAATAGTACATAATAATAGGGTACTAATAGTACCCTAATTTTTGTTAACTTATTGACTTTTGGAAATTTCAAAATTATCAAATTAACGAAAGTCAAGACGTTATTGTAACAATATATTTTTGAGATCAAACAGAGTAAAAACGTCTAGTATATAGTATTTTTCCTTCCGACAAATAGTTAGCGAGATGTCGTAAGTTAAATGTTGAAGAAGTTACTAAGTTTTCTTAAATATCTCAAAAAATATTAGGCAAAAGATGTTTCAGACAAAACTTAAAATTAATTGGTAAAAAAAGATGATATAATAAAGAATTAGTATTTCGAGATTTAAGAAAAATAATGATCAGTGAATATCTCGAAAGAGTCCATTTGTAAATAAAATAATATAATTGTTTTATGTCCTCTTTGAAACCATATAACTTTTGTCTGAAACGTTTTTGATCATCTTCCATATTTTTCGAGATTTTGCCTAGTTCATTTAAAATGGAACACTCTGTAGAACGGAGGTTAAAATTTTATCAAGATAATGATCTAAAATATAAATCACATATAATTCAAGAATGTTTAATATATAATTGATATACGAGGTGTCTTAAGAATATCGGAACCCCCGGATAACTTTGCAGGATTAAGTTTTCATGAAAAATTTTAAATACAAAAGTTGTATAAAATCGAGTAACGGACTTGATAATGATCTTAAATTTGACTTTGGTTATGATCTTCAAGGTCATTTGCAGGTCAACTTGCGTTTTTTAAATAGGAACTCTTATTTTTTGTTATACTGTTTTCTTCTACCAATTAATTTGAACAATTTTTGTCTAAAACATTTTTTTTATTTGGCTAATATTTTTTGAGATATTTGAGGAATACTTGATAACCTTTTTAATATTTAACTCACGATATCTCGCTATTTGTTAGAAGAAAAAGTGGTACTAGACTTTCATGCTTTATTTAGTCTCAAGATTATATTGTTACAGTAGTGCCCTGATTTTTGTTAATTTGATGATTTTGAAATTTCCAAAAGTCAGTAAGTTAATAAAAGTTAGGGCTTTATTGTAACAATATATTCTTGAGACTAAATAAAGTAAGAAAGTCTAGTATCACTTTTTCTTCCGACAAATAGTTAAAAAGATATGGTAAGTTAAATATTGAAAAGTTATCAAGTTTTTTTCAAATATCTTAAAAAATATTAGACAAATAAAAAAATGTTTTAGACAAAAGTTGTTCAAATTAATTGGTAGAAAAAACACAGTGTAATAACAAATAAGGGTTCCTATTTAAAAAATGCAATTTGACCTCCAAATAACTTAGAAGGTCATGGCCAAGGTCAAATTCAAGGTTACCATCAAGTCGATTACTCGATTTTCTACAACTTTTGTATTTAAAGTTTTTCATGAAAACTTGATCTTGCAAAGTTATTCGGGGCTTCCGGTGTTTTTAAGACACCTCGTATATTAATTTAATATACAGGGTACTAAATTTCAAACGTAACAGGTAAAAAATCTCGGAAACTATGAAAGATATTAAAAAAAGCTAAAACACATTCCATGATTTTGAAGGGGAAAGAGAATGCCATTATCAGTTTTTTATTTGGAGGGTATTTTCAAGGTCAGTTGAAGGTCAACCTAATTTTTTAAATTAGAAAGCTCAACTTTTCATTATATCTTCTTTTTCTATCAATTAATTTTAACAATTTTTGTCAGAAACATTTTTTATCTGCCTAATATTTTTGGAAATATTTAAAGAAACTTAGTATATTTTTCAACATTTAACTTATGATATCTCGCTAACTATTTGTCGAAAGAAAAATAGTATTAGACTTTTTTACTTTATTTATTATCAAGAATATGTTACTATAACAGTGCCCTAACTTTTGTTAATTTAATAATTTTGAAATTTCCAAAGGTCGAGAAGTTAACAAAAATTGGAGCACTATTATAGTAATATATTCTTGATAATAAATAAAGTAAAAATTCTAATACTATTTTTTCTTCTGACGAATAATTAGCGAGATAAATGCGATAGCGTAAGTTAAATGTTGAAAAAGTTACCAAGTTTTCCTTAAATATTTAAAAAAAATATTAGGCAAATAAAAAAATATTTCAGACAAAAGTTGTTCATATTAATTGGTAGAAAAAGAGGATATAATAAAAAAATTGGGCTTTCTATTTCAAAAAATTAATTGACCTTCAACTGACCTTGAAAACGCCCTCCAAATAAAAAACTGATAATGCCATTTTCTTTCCCCTTCAAAATTATGGAACACGTATTTTAGTTTTTTTTAATATCTTTCATAGTTTTCGACATTTTTTACCTGTTTTACCTGTAGGTTTGAAATTTAGCACCCTGTATATTGGTTTAAACGTATTACATCTTAGCAGAAATTTAAATTTTATAAAAAACGTCTATAGAATCTTTATAGAATTTTTATCTTTATACAATAGAAAATTTAAAGAATTTATTAAATTATAATATGCGGACTACATTTATAAGGTCGAAGGAAATTTGAAATTACAATTAGAAAAGAAATAAAGGCATATTACATTCGGTTATTTGAAAAAAATTATGTTTCATAAGTTAAAATATTGGGCTTCTGCTTCCGGAGTGCGAGTGATAGTGTGGTGAAAAGAAACGTGTGTGAAAGAGTGATTGGGAGAGGGAAAAGGGGAGAGGACAGTGGAGGTGGAGGAGAGCTAGAGAGAGAGGTGGAGTGAAGGGAGGAGTGTGGGTGGGACTTGAGGGGAGACAGGAAAGGAGGGAATGGAGGGAAAAGAGTAAGAGAAAAAGAGGTTAGGAAGGGGAAAGAAAGTAGAAGAGGCAAAGAGTATAGGAATATAGAAGAGTAGAAGCAGGGGTAAGAAGGAGCAAGATAGGAAAATATACTGGACGAAAGAGAAGATACGGGATTGGGTGATGAGGGAGAAGAAACTAGGGAGATAGATACTAGGAAGGAACTAGAAGAACGGGCGGGATAGACGGGCAAGAAAATAAGATAAAATAGGTAAGATGACGGAGCAGGGAAGGAAGTTGGGTGGGGAGCGGAGTAGAGGTGTAGGGGTGGAAAGAGAAAGAAGGGATGGGTCGGGGAACATGATGGAGGAGTTTTTGAAGAGGAAAAGGGAGAAAGAGGAAAGAGACAAGGAGGGAGAAGGAGAAGGAGGACAAGAGGAACAGCAGTTTGCATTTAAAAAGGGGAGAAGGTCGCCACAAAAAAGAGAGGAAGAGAGAGGGAGAATAGAAATGGTATGGTGGACGGGAATAAAGGAAGAGTGAAAGAGGGAAATGAGGGAGGGGTTACAGGAGATGAAGGAAGTGCTGAGAGAAGAAGTGAGAGGACAAGGGGAGGAGATTAGAAGAAAATTGGAAGACCTGAAAAAGAAAATGGAGGGAAGGGAAAGAAAATGGAAAAGAGAAAGGGAGGAATTAAGAGAGAGAATAGAAAAGTTAGAGGGTGAGGCTAGGAGAAGGAATGAGAGGGAAACAGAAGAGGTAGAAGAAGAGCGAAGGGAGAAAGAAACAGATGAAAGAATGAAAGAAATAGAGAGAAGGATGGAAATGAGAGAGAGAGAAAGAGAGAGAGAGAGAGAGAGAGAGAGAGAGAGAGAGAGAGAGAGAGAGAGAGAGAGAGAGAGGAGAAAGAGAGAGAAAGATAGAGGAGAGAAGGAGGAATATAATAGTAAGAGGGATGAAGGGAGGAGAAAGGGCGATAGGCGAGAGGCTGAGGGAGACAATCAGAGAATTAGGAATAGAGGAGATGAAGGAGTTAAAAAAGGCAAGAAAGGGGAAGGAGACAGAAGTAGAGAAAACGATAATAAGAGTAGAAAGGATGGAAGGGAAAAGGGAAATAATGAGAAGAAGGAAGGAGATATATAAAAAGGGCATAAAGGTGGAGGATGACCTAACTTGGAAAGAGAGGAAAATGAAATGGAATCTAGAAGAGATAGCAAGGGAAGAGAGGGAGAAAGGAAAAAAGGTATGGGTAAAATATGGAAGGATACAGATAGAAGGAAATGGTGGAGATGGGATGAGAAGGATGAAAAATTGAGAGACAGTGAAGGAGAAACAAAAATAGAGAAGGGGGAAGGAGACAAAGGGAAGAGGGGAGGGAGGGAAAGGTAAAGGAGGAAAGAGAGAGGAGGGAGAAGGGGAGGTTATAGAAGGTGATGTTCTGGAATGTGACAGGGCTGTGGAATAAGGATAAGGAGTTCTGGGAGAGGATAAAAAATGGGATGTGGTCATGATGATGGAAACATGGGTGGACGAGAAAGGATGGGAGAAACTGAGAGTGAGATTGCCGAAGGAATTCAGATGGAAGGTACAAATAGCGAAAAGAAGAAGTAAAAAAGGAAGAGCATGTGGAGGGATGTTGATGGGAATAAAAAGAG